GGTTATATAGGGGTATATAAGGTTTTATAGGGGTTCTATTGGGATAATGGAAAATAAAATGGAAACTACTATTAGGTTCATGAAATGTGTGATGACACAAGCTTCCTTTCTCATTTGCTCCATGATGCGTTCAATCGACAAAGCAAAGTTCACTACTGGCCTAGACTCTCCATCTACCCTCCATATAGGCCTAAGTACACACTACTAGGTGCCTCTGGCCGACAGGCGTCTGGAACACGCTGAAAAGGACCCAGCCTTCTCACCTCAAAATGAAATCAACATGAAAGTGCTCACCCCCCACCCCCCCCCGGTCCCCCCGACCCCCACCTGGTCCCTCAAACAATCCTTCCTCATACTCGCTCTCTGCAACCCACATTCTGCCTGGCACCTTTGGCGCGGTTTATAGTTTAGGGGTTAGGGTTTAGGGTTTTCCTCCTTTTCGTGGCGCAACATTCCCCATCTCGTGAAGATGGCGATACCTTGCTGCAGTATGCGGCCTTTTTTTAGGAGGGTCAGGGATATCTTGCTTAGGACCCCCTGCTGTATCCTTCCAAAGATTTAGCTCCTTGCTTTAGATCTTTTTGGTGCCCTAAACCCTAAGCTGCAAACCCTAAAGTCTAAACAAATAACCAGATACAGATAAAGATACACAGAGAGACAAAGACAGACAGAGAGACAAACAGGCCGACAGACAGATAGGAAAACCAGCTCTCTTAGCTATTCATGAGGGCCTTGCCCCCGAAAGAAATTTCTAGATCCATCAAATTTCTAGATCCATCAATCCATAAACCATAATTAAACCTTAATCCCTAAACCCTAGATGTAGGCCTCTCCCGCACAGCCGCACACCGACAAACCCAGAGCCTTGCCAGACTCTTCTTACTTTGAAATGTCCTTCCTTCGCGACGTCTTGGCCTCCTCGCCAACCCGGCTGCAAAGGCGGATGCGCCAGCGCTTACACATAACCCTAATCAAGGGTACTATACCCGAAGCCCTAAACCCTAAACCCTAAACCGTACTAGGAAGGTCCTGGAGTTGGCAGTTCCTCGCATTTAAATGACTTATACCATCGGTCTTGAGCCTCTGGCCATGCTACAAAAGAAACCTGAGGAGAACTCTAGTGGAACTGGTGCTCAGGAATAGCTATACAGTTCTGTAGGGGCTATGCAGTATAGGCAGTACACAGGGATATATACTACCCCAATAACGGAAAATCAAATGGAACATACCATGAAAAAAAAAGGGTATATCTGGTGTTCAGGAATAGCTTTGAAACCTCACTTGTCACCTGAAGCATTGAGAAACTTGCCCGAGAGGGCCTGCGATGAGTCTGTGCTTTGCGCAGAGAGCTCTTCTCTACAATCTCTACATGCAAGCGCTTTGCACTGTGCGCCAGGATTGCTCAAGGCAACTGCAGGCCTGATCCACTTCGAACTGATCGAGCTGATCGAGCGGACTGCCCAATCTTTCGTCGGAGTCCAGCGCGGAATGCAGTGTAGCTACGAGAGCCTACAGGGCCTAGAGATTCATCTGTTCGATTCTCACGGTCTGAGTGGATACCTCCAATCAACGCCCTGGCAGCCTGGAAGTTCCAACGTCTTGCCACACATTACTCATGTGGATGGTTGTCAAAATTATGGTCCCTTCTTGGGTACCCTACATGTTAGGTGCCGTATTATTATAGGGATCCAAAAAGGGAACGTAATTTTGACAACCACCCATGTGGATGCTGGACTCTCAGCGTCAAAGCCCTGAGGCCCCTGTGACGCTCTTAAACTAAATTGGCTCCTGCAGCTCCCGGCGCAGAAACGCAAGCTGGCTTGCTATGCTCCTGCTGAATTTCCATGCTTCTATGTTAGACAGAGGACTTGCTTAGTTCCTCTGGGTAAGCTGTGATTGTGCATCAGCTTCAGGAAACCTGCCGGTTCAAAGTTCTTTTGCATCCTTCTCCGAATCCCCACTTCCAGGAAGTGCGCTGAGACGAAAAGATCAAGTTGCGGCTCAGCGCTGCCGCCTACCTTTGACTTCATGATAGCGCTTCGGGGAAGAGGGTTACCACAACAGGAAGAACTGCTCCCCTGTCCCGAGCTCCCTGTACATGCCAGACAGCCTTCATTAGCAAGCAGCACTGACTTACCCACCAGTTGCATCGCTTTCTGCGGCCTTTCCCTCATTTTCAGGCTTCCCAAACTTGATGCAAGACTGTCCACTTCTTCATACCTTGCATGGCTCCAGGGCCCATGACGCCTCTTGCTCCAGGGGGCGCTGGCTAGATTTCGCAGATTTCTTCCATCTCGCCTAAGCACCCTGACATTGAAAAGCAGCACGGACAGTAGAGCTAAAGTGACCCCTACCTGGACCCCAAAGAAGGCAGGTAAAAGCCTAAAAACAGCCAAAAAGACCATTACTCTACCAGGACCTTCCTTGTACCCATAATTGGGAATATATGGTCCCTACTAGTGGGTACTGGCCCTAATAAAGGGTAGGAGGAGGGTCTAGGTTCATACGTTTGGGATTCTCAAGCCCACCGCTGGATGCGTATTCTATCGTGGAATCGAAGCCGGGCTCGGCCTTTGGGCCGTTCATCTGAAGCTTCATGCGGACTCGACAACGGAGTTTACCAGAGTCGGGGTCAAGTTCAGATTTTAGGATTTAGGGTCTAGGGTTGAGGGTTCATGTTGGTGAGATTCACAATCTTCTACATAGATCTATATGGGGTAATATAGGGGTTATATAGGGATAATGGAAAAGACAATGGAAACTACTATTTAGGGTTTAGGGTTTGGGTGTTTCCCAGAATCAGGGTAGCATTTTGTGGGTCCTTGAAATAAGGACTGTAGTACATTGGCCCCTTGTTTTGGGAAAGTACCATGCCTTAAATGCGGTATGCGACGGTATGTGTACTGGGCCTCAATGGACATCACTTTTTTGACGCTCAACCTGCTTAAACTCCATTGGAGTCGAGAGGGGTTCTGCTTCAAAACACGTTAGACCGCGCTAACAAAGAGCTCCTCCTTTGGGTTGCTGCCTTCCATCTTCTTGTCCAACACGGCTGCGACACAAGCATCGCCGTAGACATTCACGCACGTCCTGTCCAATCGGCTTGCAACGGTAGTCTTTGCGCTAGAAGACCTCTGGCAAAGGTACACTGAACCGGCTCTAACACATGGCGTTATCCCTTCTGTTGAAGACGTTGAACACACACTGTCGAATAAGGGGCTTTCTGGTAATCCCAACCCCAAGAGTAAGGACCCTATAGCCATAGTCATGGGGTCCTAATTTTGGGGGTTGGGGTTCCCAAAATCCTTTCATTGCTGTCACAGCGCTGGCATGACTTTTGGAAACCCTTGATCGAGGGAATCGACGCCCACGCCTTCTCAAGCAATTTGTGTGAATATGGGGGCATCCCAAATTCGGGGGTACCTTCTTCGAGGTCACCATAATAAGTCTTATGGTACTTTGGGGGAGTCTATATTGGGATCCCCCAATTTTGGGAAACACTATAGTAGGCCCTAAACCCTAAACCCTAAACCCTAGGCCATCGCAAGAGCCAGAGTTTAATGCAGCGTGACGATTGCAGCACAAGTAAAAACATCTTGCCTCCTTCCTCTGGCCCTGCTTGTTCCTTGTAATCCCCTCCCCCGAATATGAAACCCCCCACCCCCTGATATTAAATACAACCTATATATTAGTATATAGCACATAAAAATGGTAGTATCTAGCATTAGGAGGGGTGGGTGGTTTAATATGAGGGGAGAGGAACCCTAAATCCGAAACCTTAGGGGTGGGGGTTTAATATCAGGGGGAGGGGGTTTTTGGCCAACCTGACCATTCTCTTGCCATGCGGTCAGCACTTCCGACTCAAAGATCAAAATCCCTGTAATGTAGGTTTAGTTTGGGTACCGCCCCCAATCAGTAACAGTTGGATAATAGCTATATTATGGTTATATATAGCCCTGAATAGNNGGGGGGGGGGGGGGCAGTATCCAGGTTTAGTGTTTAGGGTCTAAACTCCTAGTATCCCCCCTGATAACCCCAGAACACCTTTCTAATGCCCCATATAACCCCTTTAAAGCGTTTAGACTATAGCTCACACGAGGTAGCTCGGGGAGGAGGAGGAGAGCCTCCTGTTGGTTTTTCTGTATGTACGAAATGCTGAACCATGTTGCGAACCTCAACCCATCTCAGCCTGATGATTGCAGGACCTGTGGAATTGGCCAGTTGTCATGGAAGAATATCAAATTTGCTGCACGATTTAAGAGGCCTTATTTCAACTCCAACTGGCTCTGTCACGCAGAAATAATTTCATTCAAATTAGTGACCCCGTCACGACACGTTTAGGTGCTAGGACGTCTGCCCTCGGTCCACGTTGTGCAGTGCAACGTGATAGTCGTGGGTCCCCCTTCTGCCACTCTCACGGACCCCCCAGCTCAGCGTTCCCCCTCAATTAGCCTGAATTAAGCTCAATTATTCCCAAAATAGCCTTGACTTGGGGGACCATGCAGGAGTAGTATAGGCCAGGGTAGTAGGAAACCCAAAACCCCAAACCCCTCAACCCTAAACCCCTCAACCCTAAACCCCTAAACCCCAAACCCCTAAACCCCTGAACTCCTAAACCTTAAACCCCTAAACCCCTAGACCTCTAAACCCTTCGGCGCTATGTTGCTCTCCTGACTCGGTCCAGGAGCCAATCCACGGCCGTGATCAAGCCGAACGTCTCTGTGACTGGAATGTTCCTTCGTTCCAGCGGCTTGCTTCAAAATGCGGGGGTTTCCAAAAGTTCGTGCCTCTCAATGTATACCGCAAAATCTATCATCCTTATGATAGGGACCCCTAATTGCTTCGAAGCCTGCATGTGTGCTCCTGGTTCAACCTGCATTCAAGGCTGGTGGCTAAACAATTACGAAGTGTTGCTTTATTCAGGGTATATAGCCCCCTATATACCCTGTATAATCCCTCTCGCAATTTTCGATATTATTCTTGTTACTAGTCTTGTGATTCGTACCACTTTCATTATCATAAGTAAGTAGCATTACTGAGCCAACAACCGAATGGAGACTCGCCTCACACGGCAAACATGAAACTGCTTAGCATACGAATGCAAAGTTGAAGCCTACATTTGGCTGGCTGCCCGACGCCAAGCCCAAAACTGGAACCAAAAGCGCAGCCGAGGTGCAGAGAAGTCAGCAAAGTTGTCAGGAGCACCTCGCCAACTCCAGAACCCCTAGATGCTCTTACTGCTCATGCAACACGGATCCCGGCAAGTGTTAACACGTCTACTCTAGAAGCAGGTTGATGAAATCAAAGAAGCCTAAGGCGAGGCAAGATTTGCCTTCCAACCCTTGAATCCCTACATTCCCCCAGTTGTCATTTCATTTTCCATGTTCTTTTCCATTTGATTCTCTCCATTATTGGGCTCAATATCCCTATAATTCAAGTCCCTTTCATCATGCGGCATGTCTCCCAGGCTAAGGAGTCTGCAAGGGCTCTTAAAACCTCCCCACCCCCCTATCATTCAATACTCCGCAGTGTGGTGTCTTACAGTATATTGGGCATATTTAATGTTAGCGGGGTCGGGGGGCTTATTATCAGGGGGAGGGGATTAGTGGGAGGCCGGGCAGTGGAGTTATGTAGACCCCGGACTAATGATCATCTCCCTTCCGGGCGCCTACAGCAAGCACGCCGAAAACCCTAAGCCCTAAACCCTAAGCCCTAAGCCCTAAAGCCCTAAAGCCCTAAACCGCGGCTCTGGCACTGCCATGCTCATTCAATCACAATTCCGGCAATGCGTTTGCAAGTTCAACTCTGCATGCAGTATGTGCCACAGGGGCTCGGGTTTAGGGTTGAATTAAGGCATTCTGTTGCAGCATCTGATGTTCCCTACACCCTAAACCCTAAACCCAATTCCAGCAATCAGGAATAGAAACCTTCAGAACAGCGCTTTGCCATGTCTTGCAGCGGCTGCCCTAGACCCAAAGCCCTAATCCATAGGGTTCAGGGTTTAGGGTTTAGGGTTCCGGTAACTGCCGGCCATGAAGAAATGGCGAGGTGCTAGGCTTCCGCTGGGCACCGGAGCGGTTCCCATGGAGCAAAGTGTAGCCATGAGGATCATGGAGATGTAATCCTCTGGTTGCCATAATTATGGAGAAGCACATGGATAAGAACATAGAACTTGAAATGGCAATTCGGTTTGTAGGGGCTACATAGGGATTCAAGGAGCTTGAACTAAGTTACCCTGTTATGGATCTATGGTACATCATGAGGTTTTTCCATTATGGAGCTTAGCTCAACTGCAACCAAGCTTGGGGGCTGCTTCAAAAGCGGCCTCTGTGCTACAGACATACATAGGGGCTTCTCAAATTTAGGGGTACCCGTTTAACAGTCCCCCATAAATAAATGACTTGAATATCTTGAGGTCTATACTGGGGCCCCCTGATTTGGGCAACTGCCACGTGGAACAACCTTGAACCTCCACATGCTACACGGTATGCAAAAATCAGATTCTGCAGACAGGAGTCCCCCGGGTCCAAGGCAATGCCCTGAAGCGCCGCCAAGAAGGAGGTGGCGCAAATAAGGTACCTGATTTTACTGGGGGTGGTAGGGAATAGCGGAATATACTATATAGGGGTTCTATGAGGGGAGACACATGCCACTGGTAAGTTATTCTCTCAGAAGCGCTCTCCTTGCACAGACCGATTTAGACACCAGCAACGGCTTGAAGGCAAGGGCACACCCCTGCAAAAGAGGCTAATAACTATGGTTTAGGGTTTGGGGCTTAGGGTTTATTCCTCTGTCATCGGACGCCAGGGGACGCCGTCGTGCCGTCCATGTTGATGGTTGCACCCAGGTTCAAGACAAACTTCGCGATGTGCGGTGACAAACCATTCTTCTCCTTGTGGCTGCTGAGGGTTTGAGAGTTTGTGTAGGAAGCATTATTATCATTATTAGTCTTATGCTTACAAGTATTCTTCTTAATCTTATGTTGACTATTATTATCATTAATGATAGTGTCAGAAATGAATATTATCAATAAATTGTCGTCGTCGTTATGGCTTACATGAGGGTTACAAGGGAATAGCATTGACCGCTGCGTATAAGGTCTCAGGTTTTTAAGACGTGGGGCTTTGCCGCTGCTGCTGTTGTTGTCGTGTTTATTAGTAGCATCTTAGGCTCCATCTCAGGCTCTTGTGCCCGGTGCTTTTGCTTGATAAGCTCTCTCAGTTAAGCTTTGGGGGTTGGGGTTTACGTCCCCAGAATAACCCATAATACAGCCCCTATAATAAGGCACACTATTGGTAATTCAAAAGGCCCCTACAGTAGGCATCGTCAAGCTACGACGGCGGCGGCAATGCTCAGTGGCAACGCGGCTGCAGAGGACGAGCTGCCCAGAGCTGTCAGCAAGGGCCTTAGAAAGAATTTGTTGAACCCCCAAAATATGCAACATAGTCGCCTTTTGGGCTATGTGTTGGTGTTTTGGGCTAATTTGTTACCTACTTTTGGGGTTCAGGTAAACAATTGGTGGAAATATGTCTCCCAACTATTCAAACAGGAATGGCCCCTTGGAACTAGCAGTTTCCATGCAACAACACGTCCGCCTCTTTTGCAAGTGATCGCCTGGAAGACTTCCTTTGCCAAGTTGTAGGCGGCGCAAGGCAGCGCAGGGCAAGGCAGCGCAGGGTCGTCAGAGGCTGCGAGGGCTCGGGCTACGCTGCACTTTCCTAGCTGTCGTGAAGCTATCTCACAAAGAAGGATCCATTTGAGCGGCCGCAAGATCCTAGATAATTACGATGGCTGTGCAGCTTGCTTTATGAGATCCTCGGTCCTAAGAGTGGAAGCAAGGAAAGAACCCTGCGATAGACAGAAATCCAACTCAAGCCCACCTTCCCAAGACCTTCCACACATCGTTCATCTGGGTTGCTGTCAAGGCGTGTTCTGCTAAGTTAACTTGATACACAACTCGCATAAAGTACTACATATCCATATCCATATTGTGGCGACTTAGTTCCAACCCAGTCATAAAGAGCCAAAACTTCCAGTATTTCCTCACACAATATGAGCTATGTTCTAAGCTCCTGGTATCCCCCTTAATAAGACCTATAATAATCCCCTGTGTAGAACCCCCAATATAAACCCTTTTAAGGAGTTTAGACTATAGCTTATACGCGGCCACAAAGCGGGAGACAGTTGACGAAGTAGCGGATGGGATTCCGGCCTTCCAGGAAACTGCCCTATCAGCAATTGCTTCATGGCGCTGACCCCAATTTCATTCAGCACCCCACCTAAAACCCTAAACCTTCAACCCTCAAACTTCCTAAGCCCTAATTAGCCCTTAAACCGTAGACCCTAAACCGATTCTTAAACCTGAATCAACCCTTAAACCCTAGGCCCTAAATTTGCCCTAAATCCTTAACCTGTTGAAGTGATAGCTATGAGGGGTACGATGGGCCTCTACTGCTCTTGTTGCTGTCTTCTCACTCCCTGATATGAAACGAACCCCTCTTGTGGACGCTTGATTCAGTACTTGAACAAGGAAAGCAAAAACGACAACAGACAAACAGACCGAAGGAGGGACCGAGAGAGGGGAGTAGATGGAGGGTGTTTAGGATTTAGGGTTTAGGGTTTAGGGTTTAGGGTTTGGGGCTCAGGTTTCAGGATTTAGGGTATAGGATTTAGGTTCAGGGTTTGGAGACAGAGACAGCAGCTTCAGCTTTAAGGCTTTCGCTGATTCACTGACTGAAGCAAAGTCTGAAGCGAAAGCCCTGGCATGCATGGTAGTTTCCCCATATAGGAGGACCCCAAAAAAGACCCCATCAGACCATCATCCTTCTTATGGAGACCCCACAACGGTACCCCCCCAATTTTGGAAACCCTGAACCCTAAAGCCCCAAACCCTACATAGTAGCTTCCATTTCCTTATATAGCTCCTTACACATGAATCCTCCCCTTGTTTCAGGTCAATGCCTGCTCCCAGCAGCAACATCAGCCCGCAGAACACCAGCATATGAAGACCTGCTTCAGGGTTTAGGGCTTAGAGCAAACAGAGTGCGAGGCACTCTCTTCCCTGAGTTTCTGAGATGTGCATGCAGTTCCCTGAGAGGCTATATGGTAGTTTCCCAAAATAAGGGGACCCCAATATAGACCCCAAAATACTATAGTCTTTATTATTGGGACCCCCAAAATGGTACCCCTAATTTTGGGAAACTCCTATGTTGGCCTGGGGCTGTGGGGCATTTGGACTCGAGGCCTAGGGATTTCCTTGTCGGAGCCAGCTTTGCGACAACAGATCCAGGAACCAAGTTTACAAGTGATGGTATACAGTCCCCCTTACGTAGATAGAATATGGCTTTGGGTATACAATAAGATCCTCATATACCCCATATTCTATCTATTTAAGGGTGACCATGAGGTTTAGGGTATGTGGAGGAGTGTGTTGTGCCGGTCGGCCCACCTGCCACACACAGCACAGCCACCACGAGCCTCATCAAGGCCGACAATGCTGTAAGAACGAGAGGGAGAGGGTGGAATTTACAGCGGGAAGTCCGAACCTTCTTGAGGGTTCCTTAAATAAGGAGGACAGTGTTTTGGGCCATACAAAGGGGAAGCCCTTTTGGAAACTGCTATTTCGCAGCCATTTCGCAGGATAGTTCTAAGCTGGTTGCACGAGGCCATGATTGCACTATTGTTGGACTCAAATCCAGTGGCAGCCACTTGCAAGGCCCAACCCTAAACACCTTTTAGTGATCCCCTCCCCCACGTCTAAACCGAGTTTCCATGCTGTCTCCAATGCCCCCTTGTAACTCCACCGCCACCGGTCTAAAGATGCGAAGGTGACCTTCGAACCATCGCCCCCACCTCACTCTAAACTCAGATTCTTTGTGTTCAGCCTTACTAGCGTACTAGCTGTTAGTAGGGAATGGAGAAATGGAAGCATGAATCCCAACAGCCCCTGTTGTCAATTAAACCCTAAACCCCAAACCCATAGATTAGTTTCCATTTGCTTTTCATTCCTTCAGTCCCTACCCAAGCCAAGGCCAATCCCTAAACCGCCAATGGTAGCTTCCATGTTCTTTTCCATTTCCCTATATGACCCAGTTTACTTGGAGGTTTCCCAAAATTAGGGGTACCATTTTGGGGGGTCCCAATAACAAGGATTATAGTATATTGGGGTCTATATTGGGGTCCCCTTATTTTGGGAAACTACCGCCTGTTTTTGTCAATGCTTCCCATTTGATTCTGCATTCCCAGATTCTGAACAGTAGATTCCAGGTATTTTCCAATCCTTCATGCTTCTGAGCCGTGTCCATGTGCTTGTCCATCAGATTTGACGTTGATTTCCTGATGAACTCTTGTAGTAGTTTCCATGTTCTTTTCCATTAACCACCACTATATAACCGCAGTTCTAATCCTGCCAAGCCCTAGACCCTAAAACCCTAAGCCCTCAACCATAAAACCCGAAACCCCAAACCTCAAACCCTAAACCCTTAACCCTCAAACCCTAAACTTAAACCCCAAACCCTAAACCCTATGCGGTAGTTTCCCAAAATAAAGGGACCCCAATATAGACCCCAAATTACGATAATCCTTATTCTGGGGATCTCCAAAAAAGTACCCATAATTTTGGAAAACACCCTAAACCCCAAACCTTATATATCCCTATATATCCCTATATATCTCCTTATATATATATATATCCCTATATATCCCTATAAAACCCCTATAATCCCTTTTAAAGGTATCCCCAATTTCAGGAGCCAGGTGGCAGGGCAACAGAGGCACCAAGATGTGCAAGGTCAAAGCGAGCAGCGCTGCTGCAGACTAGGCTTCCCACCTCGTTGGTTTAAGGTTTAGGGTTAATGATTGGGGGTTTAGGGTTTAGGGTTTAGGATTTAGGGTTTAGGGTGTAGGATTGGGGGTTTAGGGTTTAGGATTTAGGATGTAGGGTTTAGGGTTTAGGATTAAGGGTTAAGGATTTGGGATGTAGGGTGTTGGGTTTAGGGTTTAGGATTTAGGGTTTAGGATTTAGGGTTTAGGATGTTGGGTTTAGGGTTTAGGATTTAGGGTTTAGGATGTGGGGTTTAGGATGTTGGGTTTAGGGTTTAGGATTTAGGGTTTAGGGCTTAGGATTTTGGGTTTAGGGTCAGTGCTTGACAGGCTGTTGACAGAAGCCCTCTATAAATGATTAACTGAGCCACGGCTCAGGGCGCAGGATTTAGGGAATGTGGATTAGGATTCAGGGTTTGGGGAGTGCAACAGAGAATGTATAATACCTTATATCAGCCGAGTTTCTATGTTGTTTTCCATTTCCTTTTCCGTTTGATTCTCCATTAATTAATTACTAGATCAGAGGGTCTGGGAAGCATTTCAATCCAAGCGCTTAAAACATACTGCTAGGGGTTCTTATGGTTAAGTGCCTATAGAGTTCAATGCCTCCCTAGGTTCGCAGTCGCAGCCTTTGAGCTACAAAATGCGTCGACAGACCGACCGCTAGGTTTGTATTTCATGCAGCTAAGGCATATCCGGCATATCCTCTCTAGCTTCTGATTCTGGCTGCAAAGCTTTAACCCCTAAACCCTAAACCCCAAACCCTACTAACCCCTGTCACATAGAGGTTTCCCAAAATTAGGAACACAATTTTTTGGGCTCCCCATGATGAGGATTGTAGTATTTGGGGGTCTACAGTGGGTTCCCCCTATTCATGGAGAGCCATAATCTTAACTCCTTGTTTCCCCATTAATAAACCCCGGCAATAGAGCCCTATATAGTCTCCTATATAACCCCCTTGAAGCAGTTTAGACACTAGATCACATAAACCTGGACAAGTCAAGCAAGTTCGAGCACCTCAACCCTAACCTTAAAACCTAAACCCTAAATCCTGAACCCTAAACCCTGAATCCTAAATCCTAAACCCTAAATCTTGGGTACTGCCCCCACTCAGTAACAGTATACATTAGAGGTCCTTTTAAGGGCTATACATAACCATATTATAAGTATTCTCCAACTGTTACTGAGCGGGGGCAGTACTGAACCTAAATCCTAAA